TGAATGTTCGATTCGACACGAAAGTTCATTGCCCTTATTACGGAATTTGCTTCTTCGGAAAATAGGTTTGATACGTGATTGAGATAGGTTTAATTTGGAACTATATGTTCACAGTCGATCCACAGATTCAGCGCGCTAACTACTAACTACATGGACTACAATGCTACACATAAACAACTGTACTTCTGCTGTCCACTTCAGTATATGCTGGTTGAACCTTAATCTTCTGTTAGTTCAAAACTCGTTGACATTTCATATCACTATTATTAGCATAGATGATACGGAATCGTTTCTACATACAAAACTCAAACAGTCCTCCTTGACTAAAATCTACTGGTATGTGTCTAAAGAGCTATGAGAAACTAGTGACCGTAATCTATGAGTGAGCTTAGAATAACCTTTTGTCGATCGTATTATCAATAATAAGATTGTTGCAATGCTCCTTGATCATATCAACAATCGTACTGATAATTGCATTAAGGGTACGAGCATGTGTCAGAACTTTATTTCGTTCTATAAGGGCCGTTCAATCTACTCGATGGCTCAAGGCCGACAACCATTATAAAAGCACCCCTTTCCTCGACAATTGTCTACATACACTGTTAGGAGGTTACTAGATAATATATGCTTAGACTGTTGAATAAGATGTTCACCGCACCGCTTTTCCTGTCATATTTAAAGTTTCTTTTTTTAACTCAATACCAACCTGTGTTTAGTATTCGCTGGTTATTCTACGCAGCAGTGGTGAGTATGGCAGTGATCTGTTGAGATGGCGTCCAGTGGCCTTTGGCAATGGCCGCAGATGACCGCCGCCGATGGGTGGACGTAGTCTGTAAGGTTGTGTTTTCATCTGCTACAACAAACAGACGTGTACTAATGGTAATAATACGTGTACTACGTGTTACGGCTGTGGCAAATAATTGTTGATTTGTCCTGACATGTGCCTGTTTGCACCCATCTTGCCTTTAGCATTTGTAAGCATCCCAGCTGGGCTTCAGCTTGAGCCAAATCAGAAATTGCTCACCTGCTAAGACTAGTAAGAAATGCCGTACAGAACAACTGGTGCGCATAATCACATCTATGCATCAAGCAGCTCGTTAGACAATAGTACTGCAAGTATTTTGGCAGAGGCATGGCCCAACCCTTGGCCTAAATGTGTACAGCCTATCTGCTTAGCTGGCTTACATTACACATAGTTCCGGATGCTCTCCGGAACTGTGTCTAACGCTTTAGGAAACCGGAAAGATTCCTAAACCTCTGTATCAGCCGTTTATATTGTTTTCCTTTGGGGCGCAGTACAGGTTATGTTGTTGAAGAAGCCGTAAAAAACGTAATTCTCCAGCGTGATTTTTCCGTCAGAGATAGAAAAACGACACTGGACAGTGCGACATAAGCTACAGCTCATTCGCCGCGTGAGCGATAAAAAAACAGTACTCGATACATTGTAGCACTTTTTTTTTATTGATATACTGATTTGTCGGCTACGCTTTTATTTTGAGTATATCTCGAATTTTGTTCACGAGAAGTCACATGCTGATTAAGGAAGGAAAGTAATAGAAAACTGTTCGTTTATCAAACGTATCAACAACCCAGTAATAATCTTGACCGCGTCCACGTTATCCTAGTATAAACAATAATCGATTTTATACATTCATAGCGAAGCATCAGGGATCTGAAAAAATACAGTCATGCTAAAAAAAAAAAAACTATTTTATCACCTGAATACATAGATATCTTGTTGAATTTATCGTTGAAATGCGAGACCATCACTTTAAGGCAGCGGTAGGGCTACATAGGTCGGATTATTTTCTCAGGTTCATCGAAAACGTGCTTTATCTTGTTTGGATGATGGCCAAATTGTGTGGTTTGTATTGATTCCGCCAATTAAATCGTTTCTAAATATTAATAAGTAAGCTAATCCTAATCTGTGTAGCAAAACAAATGATTTATGCTACACTTTCAACACTCATCAATCATAAAAATACGCGAAAAGCTAGAAAACAGCTTAACAATATTGAAATTACTGCATCAAGATGATACTACACGCAATGTCAATAGCTCCTAATTAAAACGCATTTTAATCGCAATTTAAAAAACAAATTATTGAGAATCATCTGAGTTACATATTCTAAGGTCTAAATACCAAATAATACATTTCCCTATTATTAAGATGTGCGTAGATCAGGTTTATCCCGAAAGGCAAATAAAAGCTATCTAACAAATGTAAACGTAATGCGTTGCTCGCTGCGTCTGTCGCATATTTTTAACGTAGTTGGTAAAATATCACCATTTTATACACTGTATCTTTAATGCTGTACTTAGTAAGTTAATTAGCTAGCGTCACAGACCTGCCGAGTATAGAATAGAATGCGAATCATTTGAGTATCATGAAACAGTATCATGAATTAGAGATGAAACAGTGGCTGGCCTACAGGTTATTATTCCCTTATTTTGGCTTACTCCGTTCTACATGCAAACATCCGCCATTATCTCGAGTTGATACTTAACTAAGTACGAAAAACGAATTTGTATTTATCAGCTACATACCCGACCAGATCACTAAACTGTTCTTTGCGTTTAAGATCACTGTCCAAACGTTACTCTGCTGTTAGCGCCAGCCCACCAATGATGCCCTATGAAATGCTTTTCCGACAAAGGTGAAAATTGGATATACATATGTACGATTATCTATACTACTATTACTACAATTATGGTTATTGTTGTTGGGCTTGTAACACAATCATCACAGTATGAAGTATCGAGCTCACAGAATGCGGGCTGTTTGCCAGAAAAGAGATCTGATATTCGAGTATGACTATTTCCTAATTGACGCTTTGAAGTGAGCAGAGAGGTCCAGACGAGAACTGCATATAAGAATACTTAACGTGGATTTAAAACTCTACTGTTTCAATCAAAAGGTCCGACTGGTTTTCAAAGAAAAATACCATTATTTACGACCGCACAGTTTCAAACACATGAGGGACGCTGTTTGTTAAAACTAAAATGAGATACCTAGTTATCTTCTCTAAGTAACTCCAATCATGATATCTTGCTTTACATTGTTGTGTCCTCACTCTTTGGGGACACAATTAGATAAGGACTGGCGTAAACAATTATAGTAGGCTATGATTTAAGGAGCCTGAATAGGTTGTACGATTAATAGTGCATAGTTGTCTCTAAAATTGTAAATTCCGCCTTTGAAATAATATAGGTAAGAAAATATTTTATGCATTATATATGGGTCATCAGTAAGCCAGAATCTTATGAGCTTTTTTACTAATCACGTGGCTAATTTGGCATTACTTTGGATAGGAGTTCACGGAAATATGCATCTACATACAGAATTACACATTTCTTATAGTAGAAAAATTATGCCACTCAAAATATCCGATTAATTTCTCGTCGAATACGTTGACCAATCTGTGTTCTTCTCGCTAAAGTGTGGTATGGTTTTTTTTTAGATGCATATTTTGCGTGTATCCAATATAGATTACTAATATAGATAGATGTAATACTAATATAGATAGAATTAATACAAACAAATTTGGTACCCTCTGAATTGCTCGTTTGTCCAGCACTATCAATAGGCGCTTTCTTATTATAGACAAATAGGCTTATAGGCAAATTTTAATGTCGCGGCCAAGGAGATTTATTGACTATTGTTGAATGTTTCTTTTCAGAATTCCGCCCAAGTAAATCGTCGACATTTAGTCAGCTCGTGATAAACTACTGAGCGATAACAGGTCAAACATACGTCTCTATCAAGCAAGTTTATTTCAGATCGATAATTAAAGAAACAAGAATGATGCCTGTGACTGAAATGGCCTATGAATCTGCAAGAGATTCTCCTTTCATATTCTAGTAACTACCTGAGAATGTTTATTATTAGAACACATATGTCTCTAACGGCTATATACTTCGAATATAGTGTCTCAAACTTTCCTGTATTTTAGAAAGATGAATTTTGTATAGTTATCGTATTTAAACCACTACTATTTCTTCAACCCTCTGAATCCCCCGTGAGCGCGACATTCTTTGGCCACGGGATACCTAAATAAGGCCATAGATCCGCTTCTGTATAAAGATATTCTACAAAATGCAACGTATAGAGATGTATAACGCGACCCTTACTAGTTGTAGTAGTAAAATAGGCATTATCGAGTTGACCTCCACGATGTATTTCAACTCACCGGAACTTGAGAAAGGTCGACCAAGAGTACTCCAAAGTAGACACTTAAAAAGTTGTACATTTGTATCCAAGTGAGCTATGGCACCATGTCTCGCTACTATAAAACTTTAATCCTGTAGTAGATGTCACTACTTCCTGCTTTCAAAAATCCACACTGACTCAAAGCAATCTATTGACACCTGCTTTTTAGATGCAGTCTTGGCAAACCTCTTAGTTGAACTCGTGCTTCCATAAATCTTATTTTACAATTGCATCTCATCTGAATAGTCGGAGCACAGTCAATCCATGAAACCCGAACATTTCATAGAAAAAACTTCCTGTGCGTATTAATATTTGTCGCTAAGTCCTTACTAAATAAAGATATGGAGACCACAAGAAGAGCAATTTTTTAACACTATCGATGCCTTTTCACTCAGATGTCTGATGGACACATTTCCACTTCACATTATAGCGTGGAACGAAAATTAACAATGCAGTAGTTCCTTCAAGCAAAATCTGCGAAAAGTCATCGAACTCTTGAAAACGGGTCGCTCCGATTCCGACGAAGCTGTCAGCGGGCCCCAATGGCAGGCACTCCGACGTAGCCGTCACACAGTGAACGTGGAGAGAACCAGAATAAACGCACCGAGGGAAAGGAGGTAAGGGCCCCATTATGACGGAAAAGAACGCAAAACAACAGATGACAGAAGCAGCGAAACACGAATGCAGGAAGCATAGGCCACTGCGATAACCAGCAGGCAACGCTGGTCAAGCTCTACGAACTTCTTCCTCATTGGTACCATTTGACTGTGCAGCTTGTGGTTAGTCGATATTGTGCTTTTCAGAAGTAAACAGCTTTCATGATAAGACCATCTTCTGTAATGGAACTTGTAAAGGCGGCGGGTCTGGACCGTTGGGCAGTTTACCTTTGAACGTCATATGTGTATGTGGCGATTCTATGATAGGAATATGGCACCGCAATCGGATAACTGAATAGGCACAGAAACGTACTTTGGCGCTTGGTAGTAAGGCCCAAAGTTAAATTGTCAAATGCTGGATTCCCGCTTTTCAACTATACGCCGATGCGAAATGAAGAGTGCACTAGTACACATGACGCATACAGACAGTTCGTTTGAGAGCGTGCGCGTCGTCTTTTATTTTCAGCAACGTGTTGTTTCTGTTATGTTCTGCGTTGGACATCATTCTTTGTTGCCACTATTGTAAGCCCCGTAGAACCGAAATGTTGTGTTAGTATGATGCCATTCATTAGCAATAACAGGCTTAAGCGATTCGACTGATATACGAGGGTTTGTTACTTCTATACACAGGATTTTTCTCCGTAACGACTAACCTCGACACAATCAGTGTTTTAAGAGCACACGTGCAATGGCATTGACAATAGCTATCATAAGAGCTCGCAACAAGTATGATATATTGATACGTTTGTAAAACACGCTGACATTTTATAAACGTCAGATCTATCATAGAATCCGTATATTAATCGTATAAGCGACAATCTTAACTCGTTCTCCTGAAACGTCGTATGCTCTTGGCTTGGACTACCTGGCACTAAGATATTACATCAAGAAGGGAAGCCAACAACAAAACGTAATGTACCAGACTACACTTGAAATATACACAGAGTAACCCATGTACCGATTATGATGCACAATGTTGATAAGATAAAACGTTGAACGCCTAAATCTGCCCTATCCAGGATCATTTTTCTTAGATTCATACTCTTTTGGTGCGAATATCCGAGTCACGCCATTCAATTCCATTTGGAATTAGGGCGGGCGTATGATAGGAGTTCTCGTATCCAACAAGAAAAAAACACTATTATTTAATAAAACTCAAGTTCAAGCTTGTTTGATAGAAAAAATAGTAGCGCAGCGAATGTACGTACAGTAAATACAGCATTGGGTTTTAATGCGACAGCATTTTTAAGGGCTATGCTGTTACTTGTTTTCCGCAATTCACTTTACATGTGTACTGTCAACTTTATTATTTGCCGCCTCAAATTGTTTTTTCCACGCCATAATAGTTTAATAAAGGTTGTGGCGCGAAATACAAACTAGATCTGCTTTAACTGTTGCTTCTCCATGCCTATGAAATCATAAGGTGAAAAGTTGCATCGTACGAATGTTCACTTAAACACTGTTTCAAACAAAAGTTATAATAATGGGCTAAAAACAAGTTGTTTCCTCCAATATTATTATATATAGAAGATGGCCGGCTAAGTTTTGTCATTGACCAGTGAAAACTCTTCAGAGCAACCCCTCCAATCTTATATAGCTGCAGACGTATATTTATTCACAGTTGATGTTATATTTTCATTGTTATAATTAAGCCACGCTTACCTGGAAGGATATCGTTTTTCCGCGGTCGATATCTTTTAACGCCCAGTAGCGATACGTTGTTCCTCAAGCCCTTTCCCTGCGGCGGCGTTTCTAAGCCAACCAACAGGTAGCACAACGGCTGCCTTTCAGCGCGATCGGGGCTATCCTTCGCTAACTCACGGGAACAGGCCCAGGCATTCAGATGTACCATTGGTCCGAAGTACGTCTTGGTACCGTTACAATTTCCGCAGTGATAGCGGCTGATCGTTTCGTCCAATAGGGTTGATTCTCATTTTCCAGAAAAAGATTTGCAGATCTCTAATCAACGGAGCAGAGAATGACATATATTTGTGACTCTTCTCGCAGTTCGGCATGCGTCGCAAAAAGCCTGCCTTTGTTAAGGGCAAACTCACTAATCCCCCACTCTTTCCGCAAGACTTGAATTAGCTCCGGCAATTACCTCCTCAAGAACTAACTAGTTGATGCGCCACGATAGATGTACTGATGGTGGAATTTTAATCGCGGCCATACGGGTTAAAATGTGCTTAGCATGGCCTTCAAGTTCCACCGTTCCGAGACAACTAGAGCCTGCCAGTCAGGTGGTCTTGTCAACCCCAACTTTTATCCACGGTCTCTGCGCGTTGAGATGCCCTTTCTCAGGACATCGACCGCAATCTATGTTTCCTCTTTGCTGGGTACGCTCCCGGAAATGGGTGTCAGGCTTCTCCAGCATGTAAGCTTGAACCAATCGAACTCTGTGTAAGGTTCTAGCCGCTATAATGAGGTTAACGAAAATAGCCGATTTCGCGGTTCTTCAAACGCGCATTATATACATGCTGAATTTTAGCTGGACCACTAGCATGTCCAGCAGTACTGGTTTAGTACATACAAAGCATTCAAACGTCTTCTCATTCCTCCCGTATAAGCGAAAAACCGTGAATGGTTATTTATATGCGACAAACGTCAGCAAGTAATGATGTTATTGTTATTCTTTTGCTGATTAACAGCATTTACTATCTTATAATTATGTCCTTTCAATTCAGACTACTTAGTCCTGTAAATGTCAAAGAGACCACCTCTATTATTCACGCCTGCTTTTCATGTGCTCTCAATACGTAGGCGTACGTTGGTGTTTACCTTGTTGTGACTATCAATCTGTTCACATACATCCAAAAGGTACCCTTCTCTCGTCGACAGACTTCGGCCGGCAAACATTCCAGGACCTTTAAAGAATAAGTACATTGTAACCAAATTTGGAAACCGCGGAGGCCATTCTACTGAGTCTCATCGGCCTACCAGTCACTTGTAGGCCAATTACTAACTAAGAGACGTACCCACAGTTACGTTGTATCTCCCCTTTTTGAAAAATAGACGCATCGCTTTTTTATAGCCGTGACAAAGTAACATTTGTCCACCTTACCAGATTGTGTCGGTTGTGTCGAACAGCATAGATACAAGTATTATTTTGCGAGATAGGGCAGCCGATAGGAGTTTTCTAAAAACTAGGTGGACCCGCGGGCTTTTTTCCGTGCCTTTTTTGCGTTATGCTAGTTATATTATTTTAATAAATTATTGTTACTACTGAACCAATAAAGTTTAACTTGATTACGAATCAACATTACTCTTCTCGGCCTAACCCTTTTGCTATTATATATCAGCTTCTTCTAACAGAAAAAAATTTCATATAGGTCACACTTAACCTAGCATAAGCTACGTTTCAGTTGCAGTGGCCACTGCAATACTTCTTGCAGGCATCCCGTTACATTAACTCTAATTTGTGTATTGTGACCCTATTAGTAACGTTTATCACCTTCTACAATGAGTTAACTTCTCCAAATCACGCCAACGTGTCCTCATATTTGATTCGCGTTATGTCCAACTTGAGACCTCTTTGTATTTATTAATTATGCTATCTGGTGTACTTCGAGTTTTACGCCCGGTGCCGCTGTTAGGCGTTTCCTCAGACAGCTGGCCCCTAGCATGAAACGAGCCGTGTGTCTATGGCCGAGTCCGAACCCAGACCACACCGTTACCCACGAAGCTACCACGAGAGCAGTTGTCCTGCCCTGGTATAACTATACAATTACCGTAATCTTATTTCATTCATTTTGTGACCCGTTATCATTATTCCCCCTTAGATAATGAAAATTAACCCGGAAACAGTATGAATTTAGCCGAAGAATATGATTCATATGTCAAGCATATAATTCGTATTTCATGAGTTCGAATTGCTTCAACCAAAATCATAATTTTTCTCTCAATTGTACGAAAGCGAAGAATTTTAGGTATACATATTTTGTAGAACTTGAAAAAACGACCAATTTGTCGATATTCGAGAACTTATCAATTGTTGTCAAGCGAATCTTCAGAAAAGGTCTGCTTGCACTAAGTGGTGTCGCATTCCATGAAAAAAAAAATCCCCTCCCGGAAAAATTATTCATCCAGTCGACTCAATTTTATGCACAGCTTAACCCCGGGTAAAATTCTAGCGATCCAGAACAAGCTTAGCCCAGTTCAATCACTCTATGGGGTAAGTTCGGGTTGGAGAGACACATACACAAAACGAAAAACAGACAGATAGAGCCAATTTTAATGGTATACAACTAAAAAATAAACATATGTAGAGACGTTTTTGTAAATGTCAAATAATATGTCATCGCCTCAACACGATTTATTTTAATAGCGACTATATAAATATTGACCAATTTCCTTAAAGCATTGGACGTAGATAACAGTGGTATTAATAGTCGCTTATCGAGACAAATTGGACCTAGTGAAGATAGGAAATAAACTTGGCTTTTGTATACTGACTGACAGAGATAGATGACCATGTACACCATATATTAGTATATTTAATTCGTTAAAGGTCAAGTTTGTTCACTCGCCTTTTGTTGTGTATCTTAATAATAATGACACTGTGACGTGTGTGTCTATAGTTTATAGATGATAAAAACCTGAAAAATTGGATTGAAGCTGGATAAACCGGTCGCAATAGTGTTTTCACTGTCTTAAGGAACACCTTTCGCTTAGCAAATGTCTGTTGCGTCACATTCAACCGTATGGTTTATAACACCATTAGGTGTTTCGCAACAACTATCTAACTAATTCAACAATACATCTACCATACCTTTCAAAAAGTCTAAGAGGCTTAACACTCTGAAATATTAGCATACATCTTAAAATATACAGTCGATCTGTTGCTGCAGGTTGATTAGTATATTAAGCTCTTACGATTTACATGTAGCAAATTCATGTTGATACGAGAATATTTCTCATTGATTAGGAAGATAAAAACTAAATTCGTAAAGGTCCTACGTACAGACAAACAAAAAAAACGATTGTTTTTAGTCGTTGATGGAAACTTAGTGAGTCAATGCCACGGTACATGTTATACTATGAATATTTTGACTTTATTGACACATGCTGTATACAACTAAATATGCAAATAGGCGAACTCAAACCAATGACTTAGCATCCGTTTGTAACGTTTAGCTAACTGAGGTACCGCTACATTATAAACATCTGATTCCTTTACCCGTATAACAATTTTCAAAGATGTTGATTCATGCTAAAAAACTAACGAATGACTAACTAATGAATCATGCCGTTTCCGAAATTTTCCGGTATATCGGCATACATTATTTTTAAAAAGCTTTCACCTTTGCACGCAAGTTGCCGCATATCGTAAAGTCCCAAGAGATTTACAAGTATTACATGGGTTTCGCTGTTTTTTTATCTATGACTTTGGAAAGAAAGTTCCCGCGTTTTTCTAGCTAGAAAAGACCATACTTTTTTTTTTATTTCTGTGACAGCTAGATACTACATTATGTATACCGTTTAATTGTTCACGACTTGGTCTCATCTTTCGATCAACTGATCTATGTCCTTTCGCGGATTACGGGTTTTGTCTCAAAGAAGTTTCCCAACCATATTTTAGGTTGCTGAACCGAAGGTAAGGCTGCGAATATAATTGCTTAGTAAACGAGATAGGTGAAGATCCGTCGGCGCAACATTCGGAGAATATGGAGGGTGCAACGAAAGCTTCTATTAGAAATCCAGGACGACTCGTTTGACGATGTTTGCCGTGTTTGACCTCGCATTTTAATGGAGCAGAATAACTTGACCTCGTTTTTCAGGCCTTTTCTTTTGAGGAGCTTGGTTGACTATATGTACCTGAGGCAAATGAACGTGCCGGTCAACTGTAGTTCGTAGGAAGCAACTGCAAAGGAATCAGACCTCCGCAGGGTCACCAAATGCAGAGCACAATGTTCTTGACTTCTCTTTTGGAATAACGATCCCGATTAATATAAATGTACAGGCACCACTTCTGATCCTTGGTGATAATTATTTTCGAAAGTCCGTCATTTTGGCCGTGTGACATTCGATACCAATCGAAATACTGAGATAATTAATGTTAAGCCGTAATTCCTTGTCGAATTCAGGAAGTTCATAAGATACCTAAACTTCGAGCTTCTGTATAGCCCAATGCATTTGGGGCAGTTAGCGACAGTCATGTGGCTGCAGCTCATGTTTTCGAGCAGTTCATCTGTTTGTTAGCCATATTTCTTCAAAAGTGTCTGTATATGATCGTATTCAGCCAAAAAGGGGAATAGCGTTTTCAAACTTGGTAAATCACTCTTCAGCAGTTTTTTTAGCGATAGCCTCCCCATCATGCACATGGCGAATTCGCAAACTGTTTCGGCAGCGTTTAGTTCCAACAAAGTGATTAGTACAGAAAGCATCAAAACTGCTTTTTTTTTCCGCCTAGAAAATCCATCTTTGAAGGGTTTTGTCGGGTTGAAATTGCACTGCCTGTTACAGCACGCTGATAGAGAATAAAAAAGGGGGAAACTTTTTCTGCAAGCCAACATATATGAAATCTTTGCAAAATATCTATATAAAAACAATACAAGGTATTGCTTTGAGTCTTGGATCATTCTTGGTGAGAATAAAAAAGCAAACAAGCTGAAATTCATCGTTAGATGAGTCCTTGTCTTCATTACAGTTATAATCAAGCATATATTTATTTGTCATCTTATTATGTTGGTCTTAACAGTATTCGCTTGAGCTTTCTTCATGCAATAAGTGTGAAGAAACAATGGAGGTGTATTTAAAGTGTAATATATTTTCAGATAATCTGTGCATTAGAAATACCTTAATATACATCACTTATAGGTTATGATTTATTATGCAATGAAATTCAAACTGTGTACATGAAGTTTTTATCACTTTAAAAATACAACAAATACAAAGGTTGTGGTCGCTAAAAATCGCACTACAAATTCGATTAGATCCAATAAGATGCTTTGTCCATGCGCTTAAAGCAATGCTGTACAAGCAAAGCCAAAGGATATTACAGAAATAGTGCAGCTACAAGTCAAACAAAAAAAGAAGGAAGTTTTTGTATTAGGATTCTTCGTCATTGTATAATTAATCAAGGTTTTTGCGGTAGCCTTTGCGAATTTTCTGGCATAGATATACTTCTATCAAACCTTCTATTGTTCGGCTTCGTTTCTGGGTGAAATTTACCCAAAGGCAGTTGACAAATACCAAAACAACTTTCTGAAAATAAACAATAAGTTCCGTACATCTGGCTGTCAGAGACAAAAAACTGATCAACGTTTGCCAGCAGTGTGTGTTCCCGTTTCAAAGATATTAAAATGGTACGTCAATACAAAAAGCTACAGCACAGCTTGCGAGACTGCTTGAAATAGACAAGCATTGCCCCAAATGTGACAATCTTTGAACATGCCATGGCGCCTATCATGATGGGTGATCAGCCGACTTGTTGTTATACTCATTTAAATTGATAGCTTACGACCTTTTAGGAGCCTGACGATAGGAAAATACGGAATTTCCCACGTTAGAACGCTAGTGCAAAAACAAGCGTGTTATTTTTATATATAAAAATTTAGTACCTTCAAAGGACGCTCAACAAAAGCGAAGCCTTTTTCTCTTTTGTGGTACTTATATTCAGTAGTAACAGTTGCCATTGTACCTGTTGTAAAAGGCACTGCTTGTTATCATTATTGTTAGTATTTAGAAAAGTCGATAAAGCTGTTGTTCACGTCGAAAACGCACCTTTAGTTTCAAAATATTGTGGAAAAGGCATTCAGTTATACTATGGTAGAATGTCGCGCTCGTGTCCTTTAGTAACGAAAAATTAGACGCGAGACAAGAATATTTACTCCTGGTGTCTGTCTTTCCTGCTCCTCTACAGTAATTTTAAGAAAAGTTAAAAATAATTGTTATCGCGATCACGCATTTGCCTTTTACCTGCACACATTTATTAAATCTCTCTAGCCAAGAAATTTCTAAATGTGCATCTATATACATCTATTAAATCTAAATTTGATTTCCACAATTCTTTTAAGGCGGCAAACAGAGTGCCACGTTTCCATGTCTTAGTTATAATTTAAACATGCTCTTTGACTGAAACGATTGTTGATAAAAACAAAATGTTTCAAGATTATCCTTACAATTTCAGATGCAATTCATGCTCCTCTTCAGCCGACAAGGAAAGCTCCGGTTACAGAAATGGCAAGTAGCGACGATCGTATTTTCAGACGTGATCTAAAACGGTCTTTCACAAAGTTACGCAGCCCTACGGGTGATTAGACAACGCTTGACGGCTTCGAGAGAAATCTATCATATATTTCTTCCTTTATTATTCTGTATATACTATTTTGATAAGACCGTGTATTTTAAAACAAGAATAATTAACTATAAATGTCAGTCTACAAGAAAACAAAAGGAAGAATATTTAACGAAAGCTTACTGTCAAACGTCAACTCATTTCCCTTAGGATTGCGTGACTTTTTGAAAACATTGAATCTATTCAACAAATACATTATAAAAACCTTGTTAAAATTGTGCATTTTCAATTTGTAAGTTACAACCAAGTGCTAAAACCGAACCCGAGCTTACATATCATTCGATGTAGTTAACTAATGAGAAAGTTTTAATTTATCTATATATGATAATCAAAAAAAGAGGACTTGCGCAGTACCAATAACATAGGCACTGAGTAATAAATTTACTAATCAACCAAATAAAAGAGAATTGTCTAAGTGTAATCGTAGGAAGCAAAGCTCCTTCATCGATAAGAATATATAAGTTAGAAAACTTTCCGTGTACGAGCCTGTAAATAAACATGTAATAAGATCTGCAATTAACTTATGTCTTATTATTACTACGTATTTAGATAAGATTTTTTAAAATTGACACACTGATATATACTATGCTTTTAGCAAAATTATTATTCAGTAGGAGTCATGACGAACGTAATAATGACATATCTGGTCATCCGATCTATACACAGTTGAGACTATACATGTTCTTTTTTGCTTACATCTTCGATTTTTGTATTTTGGGTTCGTTACATTTCTGACAATCTGTTCAGGTATTCGGCCCATTCAGATAAGGCAAAAAAAAAGATAACCCGTGAGCTTGTCACTACAATACTTACGAGAAAGCCTAAAATGTGCTCATTCCTTGAATGGAGAGATCTTAAGGTAAGCTCAGATTTAACCAGGTGTAAACACGTTTTTTGACATCAATTTGATTGTAATTGTGATTTTTTGACATCAATTTGAATGTGAATGATGTTGGTTCAAGAGCACATTCGACCACAAGCATCTAAGTGTTAGCGCGAGTCAATATGACAAACTGACCTGATCCTATTCATAATAAAAAGAACTGTTTTTTTTTTGGTAAGTATTTTTGCAATTTAAAAAGAATACGTTATGTTAACGTTATATGCCATTTTTTAAATATATTAGATTGGCCGCCACACAAAAACCAATGTAATACGGAAACGTAATAGCTTTTCCCTGTAATTCTTAAAGTGTTACGTGGTTATCGGATACGAGGGGCTAATATTGCCCAGTACATCCTTGCGTAATTCTGAAAAAGGCAATTTTGATTTTACGCCCTGTAGCGGGTACACTGCTACGGTTGAATTTTAATTCAGGCTTACCAATTATCTAGTTTATATTTTATTACTACAATTTATAACATGAATTCAGCATTAAGACTAATTAATTTACGCGCTGTGCCGATGAAGCGCAATGATAAATATGATTGTTAGAAGGTGATTACATCATTACATGTTTAATTTGAATTTGTTTCATTACATAACGGGGATGTACCACTTTACCATTTGAAGTGCCTTCTTTGAATTGAATTTCGAAAACCTGTACGTGTACAGGCAGCTTGATTTGATTTTACCTTCAAACAACTGTATTTTTTTGCATGTCTCACCGTAGGTGGTGTACAAGCGCTACGCGTCATTATACTTCTGTTGCGCAATCGAGCAGTCGGATAACGAACTGCTGACGCTTGAAATCATCCATCGATATGTAGAACTTCTCGATAAATATTTTGGTTCAGTAAGTGGTTACATTTTAACCGTCCTCAACTTACTTATTTTATATGACATACATAGCAAGAGCCTGCTACAGAAAGAGAAGACTCTTTTTATTTAAGTATTCCAAGTAGTAATAATTACGTAAAACGAGTATGTCTGCGGGCCCTGTGTTGGCTATCATTGAGCTAATTTATCATGCTTATTATTGTGTTATTTGCAAGTGTATCATAGTGAGAATATTTTAAAATTTACAAATTTCCAAAACATGATCTTAGGGGTGTGTTTAATTAATTTTATAGGTATGTGAGCTGGACATCATATTCAATTTCGAAAAAGCATATTTTATCTTAGACGAGCTCTTACTTGGTGGAGAGGTCCAGGAAACGTCGAAAAAAACTGTGCTAAAAGCTATTGCAGCTCAGGATCTTCTTCAAGAGGTATGTTTAATTGTTATACCTTTATTAGGGAGCAGCTCAGAGCTGCTTAAATTTGGTAATTTATGGGAAACAAGTTCAAAGTCTTTGAAATGCCTTCCGGCCTGGAAACAATTTTCACCTGTATAATGGAAAAATAAGGTTCGTAAGCTGGTGCTGTTTTAATTATTCTAACATTCTGGGCATATATTACTAAGTTAAAAGATTTAGAGGTTCAAAGGCGCCAAATTAGGCTCCTTCAGTAATGCTATGTTAACAAAGCATATTTTTACAGTAATTTATTAAATATGATTATGAATACCGCGGCATCTAAGTTGGTGTAGAAGTACTGCACATTTCTAAGTTCAGTTATTTGATGGTACGGATGTTTGTTGAAGATGCCACCTGTGCAGTGAAATTGGGCCTATCCTTACAGCCTTACATATTTATATGTGCTAGATTGTGATTTCGAGAAACCTCAAAGGGAAGCCTGGCTAATGTGGTTATTTTTGTGAAATATGTACTATGAAAGCCCGAAGTACAAAAAATACCACGACCACCATTTTGCTTTTTATGCAGACAGTTGAATGGAGTTTCTATTGAATCAAATAGAAACCGGTTACTATTAGTGATGCTGGCGAATAGTTACTAAACTAGCTAATCAGTTGACGGCGATGATATAATCATGCTCTCCAAATGTTTTGTATTTCCACCTGTTATTGTTAGAACATGGATGATAAAGAATCTGGATAAAAATGCGGGGGCTGCTGCTGTCTGATCGTTGAGGAAAAGAGGTGGTGATTGTGAAGGTTACCAAGTGCACGTAAATGTGGTACACCGCCTGCCGTCGTGGCACGCTTCTACTGCTAAAGATGGTCTGTTCCCTTGTGGAGCTCATGTCTGCTCATTTGCTTCGTGATTTGCGGTGCTTTCCTCTTCTTTTTAGAATGAAAACAATCTATGGACTGACAATTTCGTGCATGGTTGGTGGCCGGCGGTATCTACATACATTGTACGTCGCAAAGGATACCGATACCATGGATCAGTGTAGCAAACTAAGACGATCGTCTGTAGCATGCAAATGGCTATAGTATAATAGCATGAGCTAGCGAAAGCGTATGAAGATACGGTTTGTGTGTGTTGTCATTGTGGTGAAGGAAGTTGCGGTATGAGGTGACAACTGACCGTGCTGACGCTTAAGGTGACAGCTTCCATAAAAGGCTAAATGTTTAACAACGGAATAATTTCTACCTTGGTTTATTCTGAATTTTTGTTGATTAATTGTTCATTTATTTTGTTTTGGCAGGTATTTGGCCGACATAGCATGTACGATATAGTAGATCATCATATGTATATATGGTGCCTTACTCACAGGGGTTCTTGGTTAGCATTTACGACATCTGATGATAGGTTTGCCCACTCGGCGCTTATTTTTGTAATGTCATTGAAGCTAAATAGAGTCATCTTTTAATCAACAGGTTTATTTTTATATTGCTTTGACTCTTGAGTCATCAATTTCTCTCAGAAAACCGCGTCGGCTCTGTGCACCTACATTTTCAGTTATTCCTTATTCTTTCATTTCATGCTGTTGTTTCTTTTATGTTAATATTATTTGAGTTTTCCATTTTTGTTGTTAATAATATCGGATAACCTCATCCCCCTCCAGGACGAACAAGTGGAGCAGGGTATCCAGGATTGAGATCATCTGGTGACTTTTCTGCTGATACACGACCCTACCACCTCCACACCACAACAACAGCAACTTCTGCTAAATCCATCTACCGCCTCGAGCAACAACCACCCCGCGCGCGATCCTGGCGCAGCTCGTTGCGCCAAACCAACCTTTTGATGCATCCAGTCTTCTGTCTGGTCAAGCAATCCTCCTCAGATACATATTATACATATATATATGAGAACACAAGCTGAAAGATTGCCAATTTATACATATAGATATACATATATGATTTGACAAAAGAGAAACATGACAGTAAGCGCAAACTATCGAAACACGCCACCCATTTTTGCTCGTGATCGCGATCCACATATTAACTCACCGCCTGTTTTCTAACATCCATTACAATATCACAAATAAAGTAATAAGAAACAGCGCGATGAAAAACATTTAAGGCATTTTATTTATTTCCAGATCTTATTTTCATAAAATGTTCGTTGTATTTTTAAAGCGTCACGATACATTAGTTATGTCGCGCATTGGTCTCGTTATTGATCCCTGGAATTTTGCGTCATCCTTTCGCACCTCCCTTTATTTCCAGTCTATTACCCACCCATTGAGTCTGTCCATTTTCTCTGTTTCTACCGCTATTGGCTGTACTCTCTCCGTCTTTTTCGCGTTTCGTCTGGTTGTGCGTATCTGATGTGTCTGTCAACGTTGTCTCAAACGTGTGCTCATTAGAAAATACACAAATGGATCTCCATACGATCATATGTAATTTCTTTTTTGTGTTCAAATCGGTTCAAAAACGACTCTAATATATACAAACCGGTAAGACGTTCGCCTGTGTGTAGTGTCATGTGTTGACAACCTACTCACGTTAAATATATTAAGGAATATTGTATTTACTGAGATCAGAAACAAGCGAATAGAAACGCCCGGCCCTACATGTGTACTTGCATACTACGATTTAATCTAAAGAATGCACCAATAGCTTTTTCCCAGTTTTACTATCTAGAACTTCAAATTAATTGGCGACATATAGTAACTAGTTTTAGTAACATATGTTGCGATAGCAGTTGCATCTACAGAGGGTTGTACTTAGCTCATCTACAGCACCTAATTTATCATCTAATAAGTCCTTTGGGCTTCTGTAAAAAAATATTCACGTACTTTGATGTGAATCTGATGGTCTCTCATCTTTGTCGTCAGGCGTTACTAAATGCTCGAACTCCCCTTACGTCATACATAAGCACACCCGTCCTTCAATTTTGTCTTTGTATCGTGTAAATTCAATTTATTGGCTTTTTTGGCGATTCTCTTTTGCGCATCCCAATTAAAATGCACATTATTGGTCTCCACTATCTCCGTCTCAGCTCTAAAACTGACTGAAAAGATGTGGAATGCTACTAGAGACATTCCCAATTTTGTTATGTCGTCTGTCGTCGTTGTGTATTATTTATTGATACCTCTCTTCTAGGAGGAAACTCCGGCGGGTCTGTTCGACGATCATGGTCTCGGCTAAATGGAGTCCAGAATGTGTTCGATGGGTCTAGGGAAAGAGTTGACGCCCTATCCCGGGTTCTCCCATATCCTTCAATCCAAGATTCTCGACTTACCTCTGGAAAAGCCTGCACCCTGATGACCCGGGACAAAATGTCTCCTCAAATACCTGTCTCATCTTAGTCACAGAGCCCGGATCCAGTTTTTGTTTGATATATTTTATGCCTAACTACGAATCATCGTATAAGGGTAGAGTTAGCTAAGAGTTTATTATCTGCAGATTAAATACACTGCATCTTTTCAGTTGTGAAGTTAAAGGCACAGTAAATACCTCTCGTGTCACATTGAATTCGGCTAAATTTAGCTCAACCGTTGACATTCAACAGTACTATTTAATTACAAATGTTGTTCCTAAAAAACTATATCTCAATACATCGTTTATTACCTAATTCACGTAAAAGTTATAAAAGTTACAGGTAACGTAAATATACATATATATTA